TGAATGGAGTTAAATCCAGCTGGCGACCGGTCGTGAGTGGTGTTCCGCAGGGGTCGGTGCTGGGGCCTGTCCTCTTCAATATCTTTATTGATGACCTCGATGAGGGCATCGAGTGCACCCTCAGTAAATTCGCAGATGACACCAAATTGGCTGGAAGTGTGGATCTGCCTGGGGGTAGCGAGGCCCTACAGAGGGATCTGGACAGGCTGGAGAGCTGGGCTGGAGCCAATGGGATGAGTTTCAACAAGGCCAAATGCCGGGTCCTACACTTCGGCCACAACAACCCCAGGCGACGCTACAGGCTTGGGGCGGTGTGGCTGGAGGACTGCGTAGAGGAAATGGACCTGGGGGTATTGATTGATGCTCGGCTGAACATGAGCCGACAGTGTGCCCAGGTGGCCAAGAAGGCCAATGGCATCCTGGCTTGCATCAGAAACAGTGTTGCAAGCAGGAGCAGAGAGGTGATTGTTCCCCTATATTCAGCACTAGTGAGGCTGCACCTCGAGTACTGTGTCCAGTTTTGGGCCCCTCACTGCAAGAAAGATATTGAGGCCCTGGAACGTGTTCAAAGAAGGGCAACAAAGCTGGTGAGGGGTCTGGAACACAGGCCATATGAGGAGAGGCTGAAGGAGCTGGGAATGTTCAGCCTGGAGAAGAGGAGGCTCAGGGGAGACCTTATTGCTCTCTATAACTTCCTGAAGGGAGGTTGTAGTGAGCTGGGGGTCGGCCTCTTCTCTCGTGTCATTAGTGATAGGACCAGGGGGAATGGTTTCAAGCTACGGCAGAGGAGATTCAGGCTGGACATGAGGAAGTATTACTTTTCAGAAAGGGTGGTCAGGCACTGGAATGGACTGCCCAGGGAGGTGGTGGAATCACCGACCCTGGGGGTGTTCAAGGAAAGGCTGGATGTTGTGTTGAGGGACATGGTTTAGTAGGAGCTATTGGGAATAGGTGAACGGTTGGACTGGGTGATCTTTTAGGTCTTTTCCAACCTTAGTGATTCTATGATTCTATGATTCTATGATCTGAGCCATCCCAGTACAATCTCTAGCTTTTCACCTCATGCCCTTATCTCCTTTGGTGCTTCATGCCAGAAACGAACATGGAACAGAGGTAAAAGCTGCTTTCAGATCATTCCTTTCATCAACTAAATATAAGAAGAAAACAAAATATTTTTAAACAATTCTTCAAAAATTAGTCGTTCATTCACCATTAATCACTTAGTTACTTTTGCTAATTCTGCTCTTGGTGCCTTAGAGTATCTGAAGTGCATTCGTTATTTTTCAAATGATATTTATCTATCCTTTATAGAGAAGAATTGTCTTTGTTTTTGGTGATGGAAGTGCCTTTCAATTTAAAACTATGGGCATATTTTGTTTTTAGTCTTCATATATGGAAACCATCACATAAAATGTAGTATTTCGCTATCCTTCATTTGATAACATTGCAGACTGTTAACTTATCACTTTGAAAATATTTTCCATCTGTTGTAGTTTTCTCTTTGCTTTGCTTTCTTCTTCCTTTCTTCTTCCCTACATCCTAATAGAGGAGGGAGATAATGGGGTTGCTTGTCAGCGCTGCCCATTGTTTATACTCCAGTGGGAAGAAGAAGCACGTGATGAGTCTTTTTCCTAGATTACTGTTGTTAAAGTGGAAACTGTTTTTTCTGAGGGAATCTTCAGCAGTTCTATGACAGCAATCTTAGGTAGCAAGCGTATGCTTACCTCCAAGGCCATTACTGGAAACTTTCAGTATTCTCACCAGACCATAGTATGATAAATATGAAAGCACTATCCCCATTTCAGTGCTTAACCGGATTTGGATCAGCCTAGCAGTTGTATGATTGTGCATTTCTTCATATATATGATTAAATCTGTAAATTACTGAAGAAAAGCTGCATGTTTTTTTTTCCTCTGAAAGCATGTAAGTTCATTTCTTCGTAACGCTGAGTTTAATATACTGGATCACATCTGCTAAAGGATTATTACACTAGAAGGAGGCAATGTATAATTTATTAAAATACCCCTGCAGGGAGATAGCAGGCTATCTGCTTAATAGAGGGGAATGCTTGATGGTTATACTGAAAGCTCCCAGGTGAATGCTTTAACATAAGAGTGGAATGAGTAGATGAAAATAATTGCTCATTATATAATGTTAGCTGTGTTATATTAGTGCCTAGCAGCTGAATAATATTTACATTAGCAGCTCCTTTCCGGCTTTTCACATTGGTCTCCTGCTGGTCTAAAGTTGATATAAAATTGTAGTGAAGATGGGAAAATAAAGCTTCTTGGTAATGGGGGTTGACTAAAAGATTCTTCCCATGTGTCACCAAAACTGGACATGAGAGAAAAGATGTCATTTCTTTGGCAAAAGATTTCTAAGAGTTTGCATTTATTCTTTCTTCTGAGCTGTTTGTCTCATATTCTTGTAAACTCAAAGCGGAAAACACAGTTCTGCAGTCAGTAAGTTTCTCCTTGGGGGTGGAGGGGGGAGAGCTTCTTTCCATTGCCTCACAGAAACCTCACTGCTGCCATGCTTGAGCTTGAGAAGGATCAAGCAGCTGGACATCTTTCTGTCAACACTGAAAGTTAGAGAGGTGACCAACAGCTGTTCTTTCTTATTAAATACAAGATTTCTGAACAGCTGGCCACTTTTAGATAAAGGTTTTTATTCATACTGCAGGAACTGAGAATTGACTTTTTTTTGTTTGTTCTTTCACATAGTTTCTCATATGTACAGCCTCATACTTAGGGAACAAGATCTGAATGCTTGGTGGTGATGTTCAGCTGGATGTCTCCTAGATTATGCAGTCAGTGGAATTGAAATGTCTCAGTTTTCTTTCTAACAGCAAACCACATTTTCTATGAGCTCAAGCAACCTAAAAAGCTCTTAGGGAGTCTTGATTTTAATGGCTTTTAGGGCTACTACTCCTAAGTTCATTCACAATTACTTTGAAGGAAGTCAGATCTTGGTTTCAAGATACCATTGCTATTTCTGAGGTGGAATATTTTTAGGAAAAAAAAGTTATTTTCTGTCTTAATGATGTTATGTCAGAAGCTTCTGCCCATAACTGTTAGTCTGTTTGGGTCCTGGGGTGGAGGAATCCTTGCTTGCATAATGAGAGCTAGTTCCTGTGAACTGTGCAGCACTCAAGAGAAAGTTTCTCTTCTATCATCTTGTTTCCATGATAATTACATTCCTTAAGTACATTATTCTGTGCCTGGCTAGAAATACTTGATTTCAAGTTTAAGGTGCAGTGAAAACTTGAAGTGGTTAATGGAGCAAACTGAGTACTTTAAAGTGAACTATGCAATGGTTTACTGTGAAAAAAGGATGATCTCTGGTATATCATTTATTTTCTTACTTCCCTGGTTGCTAATCCATTGGAAAATTTCAATGTCTCCTATTATTGCAAGGATCAATGGGGATATAACTATACTGATGTATCTCTTCTTTATTATTTTTACTTTACAGAACCTGAAACATTTTTATATTTAAAGCTTTGTACAATCTTTGTGAATAAGCAAATGAAATTTGGTAGGACAGCTTCAACCTTCACAGAATCACAGAATCACAAGGTTGGAAACGACCTGCAAGATCATCCAGTCCAACCACCCTCCCATTCCTATCAGTGCCACAAGCTACTAAACCATCTCTCGTAGCTCCTCATCCAGGCGCCTCTTGAACACCACCAGGGACGGCGACTCCACCACCTCCCTGGGCAGCCATTCCAGTGCCTGACCACCCTTTGAGAGAAAAAGTTTCTCCTAATATCCAACCTAAACCTCCTCTGGTACAACTTCTGGCCATTTCCTCGGGTCCTACTATTTGCCTGGGAGAAGAGGCCAGACCCTTTGCACCACAACCTCCCTTCAGGAAGTTGTAGAGTGCAATGAGGTCTCCCCTGAGCCTCCTCTTCTCCAGACTGAACAATCCCAGCTCTCTCAGCCGCTCCTCATAAGACTTGTGCTCCAAACCCCTCACCAGTTTCGTTGCCCTTCTCTGGACACGTTCCAGGGCCTCAATGTCTTTCTTGTAGTGAGGGGCCCAAAACTGAACACAGTACTCGAGGTGCGGCCTCACCAGTGCTGAGTAGAGGGGGACGATCACCTCTCTGCTCCTGCTGGCCACACTATTTCTAATGCAGGGCAGGATGCCGTTGGCCCTCTTGGCCACCTAGGCACACTGTCGGCTCATGTTCAGCCGAGCATCAACCAACACCCCCAGGTCCCTTTCCTCTTCGCAGTCATCCAACCACTCATCCTCAAGCCTATAACGCTGCATGGGGTTGTTGTGGCCAAAATGCAGAACCCGACACTTGGCCTTGTTAAACCTCATCCCATTCACCTCAGCCCAGCAATCCAGCTTACCTAGATCCCTCTGCAGGGCTTCCCTGCCCTCAGGCAGATCGACAACTTGTCAAAATACTTTGTAGTGTGCATCCGAAGTATTTGCTACAGGATTGCAGCAGTGTTGTGATGTTAATCTGTATGGTGTTTGGTTTTAGCATTACATGTACCAGTTATGACATTCGCTGTTTAAAGGGAGTTGGACCACATGATTTTTTTTAATTCACTGTTCTGAGTAATTCTGTGATTGCTGTCAATTCCCTTAATTGCTTTAGATAAATAGGTACATGTAGTCACAACTTTATCAGGACATGCTGATCATTTTTAAATGTATTTTTCAAAATACCATACAAATGTGAAGAAATTACATTGTTTGTTCAGTTCTTCTTTTGGAAAAAGATGAAAAATGCTTTTATCAAAAACTCATTTGCAGAGAGTTATTCAGTCTGAATGACTGACAGTTACTTTTCATACATGATTTTGTGATTTTAATAAATAAGAAATCAGCTCCTTCTCAGTGTATTTTGAAGCCGCCTTATTTGAAGATACATGCCCTAACGCACACTGTTAGTTTTGAGTTAAAGCTGATCAGTACAATTGCTGTGAAGTATGAAAGAAGTAACAAACTGTATATTTTTAATTTCTTTCCAGTTAAAAAGAAGAAGAAGCCGAAGCTCTTAAACAAGTTTGATAAAAGCATTAAAGCCGAATTAGATGCTGCAGAAAAATTGCGTAAAAAAGTAAGTTTTGAATGTTTCACTCAGAGTCTAAATGGTGGGCGTGAATAACAGCTAACTTAAGAAGAAAACAAAACGGAGAATTACTTCTAGATTACATTTTGTATAACTTTCTTTGAATTTAAATGTTTGGTGACCGTTGGTACCTCAAGTCTAATTTCTGTCAGATAGTTTATATTTTTCAAATGATGTATATGACCAGTCATGTGTTTCCTCACTTTTAACCATGAAAACATACCTTAACTGTTGAATTCATATTATCAGTAGGTGTTTAAATTAACCACATGGATGTGGGTTACATCATTGTGGTCAGCTTTTATTAGAGAACTTAGATAACGAAAGTATGTTAGTATGACTCCCTTGGTATGGGTTCATGTGTTTCATGAGCATTAGGTGAAAACCTTGTCAGAGGTGTTGTTTTGGATGGACTTTTGCATGCATCATAGGAATGTCTCTGCTGCCGTATAGCTTAGAGCATTGAGGCAGAAACATCTGCTTCACACCAGTTGCGAAGACCGTAACATCAGGTTAGTCAGTTTCAGTAGTTTAAAAACTTGAACAAAGCATGTGGAGAACAACTGCATGTCTTTGTTCTGCCCTTTTTGGTCACTTCAGAGGACAGAACAATGAGGAAATATGCCTCTGTCAACACAGTGCAGTAAAAAATAAAAAGCATTCTAATCATTGCAAGTATAGATGAGTCTTGATTTTTCAGAAGACTGACTGCAGATTTTGATTTACTTTGCCATCCATGCAGCCCCAGAGGGGCTGCGAAACTGTGGCAGGACTATTGTATAGAAAGCACTAGCACCATGCTGCTTCTACTGCTGATCTTCACTGGGGACCTTGATTACGTGTTGAAATACAAAAAATCAAAACATTTACATGCTTATTTTGATTATTCTGATGAGCCTATGGTATCAATTTACTGACTGTTTTTCTGTATTTGTCTCATGGTGAGTTGCAAACAATCATGCTTGTCTTGTAGGAAACAGGGTAAATATAATGACAACTCATAGAATCGTAGAATGGCCTGGGTTGAAAAGGACCACAATGATCGTCTAGTTTCTAGCCCCCTGCTATGTGCAGGGTCACCAACCACCAGCCCAGGCTGCCCAGAGCCACATCCAGCCTGGCCTTGAATGCCTCCAGGGATGGGGCATCCACAACCTCCTTGGGCAACCTGTTCCAGTGTGTCACCACCCTCTGAGTGAAAAACTTCCTCCTAAAACTCAGATGTAGTAATATTTGAGGATAGCAGGGCAGTGATGTATAATAATCACTCATTTGTAAAGCTGTAAGGTTTGGATGTGGCAGCAAGATCTGATGCCAGATTTTGCCAACAGTGCTTAGTTTCTGTTTAGAAGTGCCATTCTTTCTTCTCAACTTCCACCCTAGTTTGCTAGTCAGCATCAGCCATGAAATTACTACAGATGTGTGTGAAATTTGTATGGAACAGGGAGGAGATGCAGAGCTCATGTGGAGTCCTGAGGGATGTACTTGTTCAAAACATTCAGAGGAAACATCCATGTACTGATGGCTCTATCCTATTTTCCAGAAAACCACAGTTATGGTACAGCCGGTCATATGAGATATCCGGAGATTAAATTTCTATCTATATATAAAACTATTTTCTGTATGTTGCACTCAGTTTGGAATTTGTTATTATCCATAGAATCATTATATTTCAATATAGACAGGTTGTTGTCTTCTGACGTTTCTTCCAGTCAACAAAAGTAAAATACAGTAAAAAATTTATTAGCTTTAACCATGGGAAGTAAGTGTTACCACTTTGTAAGTAATGACAGTGGTTTCTCTTAAACAACAAAGTAATCCCAACAAAAATATAAGTGAAAATTGTTTTTCACAGACTCACAGTCTGAATTTTGTATATTTTTTGTTTCAACTTGGGGAAACTCATTTGCTATTAGGCCATGCATCCTTCAGCATATTTGTTAGATGTAAATGCTGATAAAATTATTTGCCTTCCAGGGAAAAGTTGAAGAAGCTCTAAGAGCTTTTGAAGCACTGGTAAATCAATACCCAGAAAGCCCCCGAGCAAGATATGGAAAAGCACAGGTACATAAATGAATGAATTAGAAGTCATAAATGTTTTATAGGTGAACCATAAATATTTTCTAATGATAGAACTCTAGATTCCATTCAGATTTCATTTTCTTAAGGACAAACATTACATGATCTGTCAAACTGTGCCCGTTCCAGTTTCAGTTACTTCATAAGCTTTTGTTTAACTTTAGTCTAGAGGCAAGCATTGTCAATAACACAAAAATAAGATGTGAAGTTTCTGTAGAGTGGTAAAGAATATATAAAGGATAAAGAACAACAACAAAAAAAATCCAGACAAGGGGGCTTAATTAACTTTATCTTGTGGAGGAGGTTGCTGTGTTTTAGATGTTCTTCTCTCCACCCTACTCACACATAGAAAGGGGAAAAATAAAACCAAACCAACACATTAGCAAATAAGCTCTGCCTTTATAATGCTGTTTTTGAGCCATGTTGAGTTGTCTCAGAGGGAAAAATTCTGACTTGAGACAGCTGCTCTGAGACCACCCTGCAGTCCCCTCCCTAGTCAAAACCTTGCCACATAGACATAACACAAGAAGTAATGGACTAAAAAGAGTTATGCTTTTAAGACTTACCTAATTAATGAATCTGTTTATTACATCTAAGAACATACAGTTCCTGTCCTCATAAGTTCACTGCTTTTAGGGAGGAGGACAGATCATATAAGCCAGCTTTTTAAGAGTTCTTGCCAGTGACACAACTGCATTCATCCTTTTACACCAATTCATAGTCACCATCTACCACTTTAATAAAGATGAGACGGATCTTCAGATCACGATCTGAAGTCATAATGAGCAGGCATTTTTTGGGAGCCCTGGAGTTTGCTACAGGAGCACTTTGCCTTGTCTGTGAACCATGAACCAGAATTATATGTTAATTTTGAAGATTCTAGATTTAATAAAGCATGGAGATTCACTTTTCCCCATCTTTTCTCCATCTTTTAATAGCTTTATATATCAACCGTTTTTCCCTCAAATTAATGTTTTTAGAAATTTGAGTAATCCTTGCTTTAACGCCTGAACTACATGTAGGCCAGATGAAAAATATTCTAAAGAAATAGTTGAAATATTTAGGGCTGAAGAGTGGACATATCTTGAGCCTCTTTATAATGACGTATAGCATATATATTGGTGAGTTTAATCAGATGTTACATTGAAAATGTTTGATTTTTTTTTCCTTATTTTTTACTATTCTTTACCCTGCAATTACCTAAAAAAGGAAAAACAAATGTACTAGTGAACATATATCAGAAAAATAAATAATCTCATAATTTATTTGTGAGGGTTATTTGAAAGTAACTGAACAGGTATTGGACCAAGGAACTGTGTTTTATGGTATTCTCCATACTCAATTTCAAAAAAGCCTGAGGAAAGAAAGTAATGGACAGAAGTGCAAAGATTCCAGATATTAGCTGCTTACTACAACTAACACAGATGAAGTTGTTTAAATTAATGTGTGATCGATACAACGGTGGATTGAGCAATAAGAGCTTCAGTTTCATCAGTGCTTGTGATGCATCTACACCTTGTTCTGCTAATTGACTTCAGCCAATAAAAATAGAAGCATTTAGGAAGAATGATTTAATCACATGAAAATGCATACTTTTGAATAAATAATGCAAAACAATTCATTAAAAATTCATGACTTGAGATGTAGCTGTGGAAACAAATTATAAAAATAACATTCCACAGGTGACATCAGTAGGGGTTCCCACTGGCTTTACTGAAGCTGTACTTTCACAGTAGAAATCTCATATATCCTTTGGCCTGCTCCTGAACTTAATGAAGTAATTTAAGTAAGAGTTATGTGATGGGTATTATTTCAAGATATGCAAAAGTAAAGTAAATTTTACATTATTTTTTCTAAGAAAGACTGAAACTAAGTTTGTCAGAATATATGAAAGAAATATTTGTTGGTGTCTTTTGATCTGCGTGCTACTGTTAGCATGAGACTTAATTTGAAATTAATCTGGCAACAGTTTACATTTCTTCCACACTGTTACAGATAACAAAATTGTTTTGAAAAATAACGTATTATTATGTGTTCTGATAATAGTTTTGTAATTCTCTTTAGTCAGAAGATGACTTAGCTGAGAAAATGAGAAGTAATGAGATGCTGCAAAAAGCCATCAACACCTATGATGAGGTGGTTAGTCTGCCAAATGTCCCTTCAGATCTGATAAAACTGAGCTTGAAACGAGAAGCTGACAGGCAGCAGTTCCTTGGTAAGATTTGTGGATGGTGTAAAAATTGTGAATGTTGTGTGACTTAAGAAGACCACGAAGGGTTTCACAGCAAAAATTCAATTGAATTGTCATTGGAATAAATGAAAAATCTTTAATAAGTCTTAAAAATTTTGCTATAACCTAGTGTCTATTGCTTTTCTAACAAAGGTGCCTTACAGACAGCAGTGCACAAGATGCCAAGAAAGGCTATGAAAGGAGATGGTTTAAAAAAAAATTAAAAAATAAAAAAAATATTGAGTAAAAGAAAAAAAAATCATTTTCTACTCAGGTTGATGGAAACCTCAGGGAAATAAATGGCATACATGAAGTAAACATACCCCAAATAAACTTACAGTAAACATAGAGAACAACAGAATTGAACTGGGGGATAATGTTTTAATTCATAAAGTATTCCTTCTTTTGACAGTTTGGAAAGTCTTGTTTTTCAAGGAAGTTGAATTGATAGTATTTTGTATAACCTAAAGAAGATATAATAAAAGTATAAAAGTGTATTTATGCAGTTTTATAAAATTAAAAAAAAAAAATGTCTGTGGAAACTGTTAACGTGCTATCAGGAATTGTAATTGTATATCTTTGCCATCACAAAATTTCACATTATGTTTGCTAACATTACTTGAGTTGGCTCATTATTTATTCTCAGACTGAATTATGAGTGGCAATGACGCTTAGGCCAAAATTGTGAAGCATCGTGAATCTCCATACCTGATGTTCTTAATCCCACTTTAAAAAATGTAAATAGTGAAACAACTAGCTAATGGATTGAAAAAGAAAACTATTTTTGCTATTTAACAGTGACAACCCAATACAAGTAGAGCAGGATTATATTCATTACTTCTGGAGATTACTTACAGCAACCTTTTAAGGCACTAGATTGTCTTAAATAGGTGGATTATTATGCAAGATGATTATGCATCCCTTTCTTGCTTTCAGTAGATTAGACTTTGCCTACTGATACTTGAATTTCATATTTTTCTCACATATTTAGTTTACAATGCTGTTTTCTCTTAAGAAAAAAAATTGATGGACTTGATCCTGATGATCACAATATCATCAACAAGATTTCTAAACCATGAATCTTTCAGTGATTCTGTGTCAGAGGCAAAGGGATATCCATTGTGACCTCTTTGCAGTTTTCAGTGTGTCAGTTTTGGATGTCCAGGTATATATCAAAAAGCTGCCTGTTGAGAATACTCTAATACTAGAATGTCTCATTTTAATAATGAGCCAGATTTGTTTTATTATTATCAGAGAGTGAAAATCTGAAGCTGGAATGCTGAGAACGAAGTCCTAAAACAATCAATGAAAACAATCCATCTGAAAGTTTAGATCTCAGTTCTGTGATGTACAAGAACTTTTTATCAGAGCATGAAGCACAACAGACTTCAGTGGGATAAGAGATCTGCTCTTGTGGACTGGGTTTTAATGTCAACTTGTTTCGATCTTGCTATTCTTCAGTCAAAAAGACCTCATTTAGGAAGTTGATGAATCATATATTCAGTTTCATACGTGTGAAGCATGATTGCTTTCAGTGGAACAGCTGAGCATTTCAAAATGTGTTTAGTTACTTCAGTTAATTAAGACAAAGTTTATTTTGATATGTTTATCGCGTTTTATTAAGTGCTTTGATATCTATGTATGAAAGAGCAAACAGAGCTTAATGTTAGAGCTACACTGTGAACTGTTCTCCACTAGAGGCTACCATAACACTGCATGATATGCATTCTAGTGATTTCCTAAAATATTCCTTGTACAACTACGCTTGCTGTGGCAACCAAGCAGCTGAATATATTCCTGTCTGCATAAGCTTTTTCTGAAGTTCTGCCCCGTGATCTCTAGTGAAAATGGAACATCTGGGTCTGATTTGTGTTTTCTTAGATGTCGTGTATCTTACTGCTATTACTTGTATCCACTGTTGTAATGAAGCCTTGTTCAATCAAATTAGGTCGTATGAGAAGTTCCCTGATTACTCTACAGAAATTAGTTCATCTGTTTCCCAGTGATACATCATTCAAGAATGACCTTGGCGTTGGTTACCTCTTGATGGGAGATAACAGCAATGCCAAGCAAGTGTATGAAGAGGTGAGCATCCATTCCAGTTGAGGAAAAAAAGATTCAGATTCATAAGTTCATTTTAAAGATTGCCTGCTTTTAACTTCTTTAGCGGTGAAACATTTTGCATGTCTGTTTTTGAAGGATTAACATTGATGAGATTTATTTATTTTCCCATCCATTTCCTGTTTTCTGGATTGCATTCAGACTTCCTGATACCATCATACTAAATGTTTTTTTCCTCACCAACAGAGAAACATACTTAATAATCCTTGGTTTCTTATGCTTTCTAATAGGCAGATTTGGAATGTATTGACAACATAGGTAGATGTTACTTATATCTGGAAAACATGGAAAGCAGAAATAAGCTTGTTTCTTTACAGGAATGGTGTCTTTATTCATGTGAATACAATAGTTGAGTACCTGCAAATCTGTTTATCTGTAGCCTTTTTCCGGATTTTCAAAAGCAGCCTAAGTGCTGTTTTTCTTTCATGATCCCATGATCCTTGTAGAGTGCCCTGTTTCTTGGATTTTTATTGCTGCCTAGCACTAGCAGGCTGGGGGAAGCATCAGCCCACTCCTGTGATGCAAGAACCCCGTTCACATCTGGAAGCTCTCTAACAGATGTGGAGCTTGATGTAACTGGTATAGCAAGAGCTATCAGAATCTGATCAGAGATGATATTGTTGGTGTTGGCACACTTGTTCCAGGTCTTGTTTGGTGCATGAGTGGTATGAAGATTGACTGGTTACACAGACTGAGGACAAGCCAGCATGACTGATACCTCCTCCTGAGAGCAGAGGCACAGTTTTCAATCCCCACATCTGGATGTCTGAGGGGTTCTTGTCTCAGATGGTTTCCCAGAGGGGATGAGGCCATTTATGTATTATGAGGCCATGGTTGGAAGCAGGAGCCAAACCCTGATAATACTGTTTTGTCTGAAGCTCTTCTGACAGCTGCAGTTGTTGCCAACTACTGTTTGCTTTGTTATTCTTGCTGCTCTGTAGGTCTCTCCATAGTACACTTCTGTTCAGTAATTTTTGGCTTGCTATCAAAAGTTAGCTAAGGATAGAAAATGGTGTTTTTTAGAGATTGACCGTTATTAACTGAACCTGCTTCTCAAACAGAAGGATCTTAAACAAACAAACAAACAAAAAAACTCATTTGGGGCACGATTTTTCTTCATAACTTTTCAGTGCTTTGTTGCAAGCAATGTAGATGTTAGAATTTCTCAGTAGCAATAATCTTAGTATTTATTCGTAATTGGAGGATGGTAATGAGTTTGTTATGCACCTACTGTGAGATTGCATTTGATAGACTTCAGAAGAAGCTTTTTCTGCTTTTATTAAGGCTAGATATGCAAAATAAGAACCGGTCTGGTTTCAATATATTGTTTTCCATGCTTCCATAGTCTTCATCCAGTATAATTACTCTGTTTTACAGTTCACTAGTCAGTGAAATAGAACAGATCATAGTGATGTTCTGTCCTTGTAAAAGAGCAACAAATAAATATCTTTTAAAAGGATTTGGATTATTTTTTTTTTTTAGAAATCATGCAGATTTTGTCCAAATTCTGACTTTTCCTCAGGCTGAATTCTACTGTTGTAATACATTTTTTTTTTTTTCATTTGCTATAATGAAGTATAAATTTACATGAAGAATTTTTATGAAAGGAGATATAGTCAAATGAACAGGCGGAAGCTTATGTGCACATGCTTTTATTCTTGGTTATACCAAAAACTTGGCTCTGGGGCCATTTGGTCTGCTCTTCAGTGCTCCACTCAGCTGTTGCAATGCATAATTAGGAAGTGACTGACATATGGTTTAAAGCTCTGCCATAGGTGCTGAGGCTCTATGCATAGCCAACGCAAGTGAGGCCAACTATGGTAAGTTGTTCTGGTGACCTCCAGGAGACATCTTCTTCCTATGAGTTAAAAACAAACAAACAAACAAACTAGGAGAAATTAGTCATCTGCTAGGAAAGAACACATCCCAAGCAAGAGCCTAAACTCAGTGCTGCAGAGTAGATGCCTCCAGTATTTATAAATCCTCTGTTACAGTTACCACTGTAAGAATATTCATACACTTTATTCAAGTATTTTTTTAATGCAAAGGGCGCAGAAGTGTAGGAAAAGAAAGCAGAACTCAGCTCGTTCTTAAGGGTTACCTTGGGTTTGACTTTAGACTCTGCTTCTTGCTGATTCCCATTCGTTTCTTTGTAGTCGTCTAACAAGGGAATGGTGTACTTTGGAGCTTACTTGAGGAGCAAAAAGTGCAATTGGGCTGGAAGAGAATCTAGACTCCAAGTTTCCCATTTGCAGCAAATGTACTGGATGCTTTGGTAGAGATAACAGTGATCTTGTTTGCTTCCTGCTGTAACATTATAGTCTAAACTCAGTGTTGGCTGTGTGTTAGGCATGGGCTGAGCAGGCATTAACCACTGGATTCTTCACAGGCACTCTGGACTACGTTGCATCATGCACCATTTCAGACCACATTAAACAGCTGACATGATCTCTTAAAAACTGAATCAGTGCCCAAGGAATCCTAGTGAATGAAAGCTTTCTGCTTCACATTTAATGGCCAGCTTGCTTATTTCCCAAACAACTTCACCCACTTTTTTTAAGATTTAAATATTGGAAACTAATCAAAATTGTTGCTAAAAAAAGTGGAGAAACTAATTTTGTCTTTGTAGCTGTTAAAGTGTTATGATCAATTTTTTTTTCAACAATCTTAAATGTGTTCTTTTTACAGTAGAAGTCATGTGTATAAAATGCTACATTTCAGATCAAGACACCTTTGTACTTTCAGCTGTAGTGTAGTATGATTTAAAATGATACAAAATACACTTTTTAGTTGCATTTACCAGACTTTCTGCTGAACAACAAATGGAAAATGGAGTCCAACTGGAGAGGATTTCAATTTTGCCAAATGTTAATATATTTTCTTCTGAACATTATACCCAGCTACATGGAAACATAACGTTGAAGGTAGTTCTCACAGAAATTAAAGCTATTTTTGTTTTCAAGTATCTACAGGTTGATAAAACTGGGCTCCATCAGGAGAGGGGTGGTCAGCAGGGACAGGGAGGTGATTGTCCCTCTCTACTCGGCTCTTGTGAGGCCCCATCTGGAGTACTGTGTCCAGGTGTGGAGCCCTCAGTACAAGAAAGACATAGAGATTTTGGAAAGGGTCCAGAGGAGGGCGACTAAGATGATCAGGGGGCTGGAGCACCTCCCCTATGAGGACAGGCTGAGGGAGTTGGGCTTGTTCAGCCTGGAGAAGAGAAGGCTGCGGGGTGACCTCATTGCAGCCTATCAATACCTGAAGGGAACCTACACCCAGGAGGGGAGTAAACTCTTCAAAAGGGCTGATAACAGCAGGACTAGGGGAAATGGTTTTAAGTTGAAGGAGGGAAGATTTAGGTTGGATGTTAGGGGGAAGTTCTTTACTAGGAGAGTGGTTAGGCCCTGGAACGGGCTGCCCAGGGAGGTTGTGGATGCCCCGTCCTTGGACGTGTTTAAGGCCAGGTTGGACGGGGTCCTGGGCAACCTGATCTGAATGTGTATGTTTGGTGGCCCTGCTAGGCAGGGGGGTTGGAACTACATGATCCTTGGGGTCCCTTCCAACCCGGGTGATTCTGTGATTCTGTGATTCTGTGAAAACACAATGGGGAGAATTTCCTTAGCAGAGTGAGTGAACTTAAAGCAATTTTTCTGCCTGCCATTCTAAGCTATGTCTGTGTGGCCTCAATGCAGTCATATACAGATGCATACAAGCCAGCTCTGATTGAACTATCTCAGGTACCAAAAGCAGAATACCCACATTAACACACTACTCTGCCCTGGCTAATTAGCCACTGATAGCCCCAGAGGTTAATTTCTATATTCATGATTAATATTTAATGGGCAATGTGCGGTTTAGTAAAACTTATTTTTAAACATAATTAATATTGCATGCAGCAACAGCAACAGAGTAATACAATTTACATTAAATACTTCCAGTGTAATTTCTGCTGATTGTATCTCTTCACTTCTCTTTAGGGGCTCTGAATGTAGATCATGCCTTAATGCAACCCGGCAGAGTTTAAATGAACCGTAATATAGAAAATTCTCTTCTGTCTTAATTAATCAGATAGCTTTATCCTATAGTTAAAGGAACTGTAACAAAATTATATGACTAATAAATATTTCTGTCAGTCATTTTTATTTCACCCAGCAGGTACAGATTCGTGGAACAGAATGCTTCTATGCAGAATGCTGTATGCATAAAGTATAAAACTCATATGGTGGTGTCAACTTAGTGGTCAATCTGATCCATATTATGAATTGCAAAGTTCATTTTTGCAATTAAATACCATGTTATAGAGTTCAAATAGATTCTCAAAATTGTTTCTTCATAGTGGCTTTCTTTCTGTGAAAATATATAAAATACTCCTATTTTTAAGCCATAGCATTTATACCCACATAGCACTGATTTTGTTTTTGCTCGGATGTATTTTGTGCGTAATAATGTTGGATAAAGTAAAGAAATTGGCCCAAAGGACTTGTTATAGGTTTGCTTCTAATTATTTTGATTGAAGAATTAGGTTAGACAGTGGCTGGAAAATAGGATAGGGAAATGGCTATAATGTATGCAGGCATTTTATGCGTGGCATGAGCTTAGCAGTTTCAAAAATGGATTTAAAGAAGAGAGACTGTGCATCTGCCATCTGCATCTGTCCTGTATCAGTCTCTGTCTTTCTGCTGACTTCTAGGTACTTGTGCTGGTCCTCACAAACTGAGGATCTGTCCTGATTGGACTTTCCACCCTTATTTTAAGAGAGAGGAGGTTTATCAACAGATTTATCTTGACCATGTAATCGATATCCCATGAAGCTTCAAGTCATACTGGATATATACACACAAGGGCTGCTCTGAAAAATAATGCCTTCTGTTTTACTATGTTGGCCCACAGCGTTAGCGGTGGATGCTGGTTGGTATGGTCATAGAGGTTAAACGTTCCCACCAACATTCTGTTACATTCTATTGCCATGTGACAGACAGCATCACAGGGGCAGTCTGACACAATGGTGGAGACGTGCAGGAAGTGTATAGGAAGCAAAGGGGTGAAATTCTTCTATGAGGGGAAAAAATGCCACCTAGTGACATTTATCTGAGCTTACTGAATGTTTATGGAGACCAAAACAGAGGATGTGAGCATGGTGAGGTGGTGGATGTTGCAGGTTTACTGCAAGTGCGATATGCAGGCTCTTGTTCATCACTGGTGAAAGTCCATGACCCATGTTGAATAATAGTGCTTTGTACCTGAGAATTTGTTCTATCAACCAGTGTTACTGTGCTCTTTATATTTCTTGTAGTTTCCATGGAAATAAACAGGAGGTATTACTTTCAGAGCAACCTACATATATTTAATATTTATAGTATGATAGAAATGTGGAACTGGAAAGTAGATCAAGGCATTCTGTAATTTTTTTTTCCCCCATAGCTGAGGCACAGACCAAATGCTCTTAAATTATCCAGTATTGTTGGGAGTACACTTCAGAACTCAGGCTAGTCAGCTTCACACTTCCTTCCCCTGAAACACTCCCCCATACAATGATCCTCTCTTACAGCTTTCCCTGCGCTCACAAATCTTTCTCTTGCACTGGAAATATCCATCTGTGCCTAACGAGGATCAGATTTCTTACTTGCACATGGATTCTCCTTTTCTGCAAAGTTAATGATGTTATGTTCTAACTCAAATATATCTAAATTTTCTTCAGGGTACAAACCCTTTTAGCTTAATCAAGCACGCTAGGTCTTTGAGCGCAGCACACAACTGTCAAGGAATGATTTATCTGTCACCTGGTATGAAAGCGCACTGAATCACTTGAGGTACCCCACTAGTCTTTGCATTACTTTCTGATTGCTTTCTCTTGGCCAGGAAAGTGTAAGCTCTTCCAAGAGAATTCTTACTTTTGTGTTGAGAATGGTTTTTGCGTTGCTTGGTTTGTACAGTTACGTCTTGTGATACAAGCATTATTTCACAGCATGTTTCTAAGTAGCAGTCACTGTGCTTCACAGCATCGTATGTTCTCTCTTGTCAAGACTAGTCTGCCAGTGTAAACCTAATGTGTTTTAAACTATTCTAGGCGTATTACCACACTGTCCTTCTTGTGACTCTTCTGTAGACTTGTTCAAAAAGCAGCTGCCTTCCTTTACATCAGTCCTGTAATTTAGCATATTATAACTCAAGACAGAAGGTGGGAGAAAGAGGAGGCACAAGAAGAAAATAACACAATTCAGAGAAGCCAACTGGAATAATTTTACATATGAAAGTTCAAAGTTTGGTTTATGATAAGTTATTTGGGAGAAGGATAAATGTAAATGTATACAAGTACAGGAAAAGCAAGAATATATCTGTGCCAGCGATGGAAGAAAATCTAATTGCATCACTAAATAGTAATTTGTACACAGATTTGTTAATTTGTATAGATTCATACATGACTGTTTAATTCCTTTGCCCTCAAACAGGTTCTACGCCTGGCTCCAGATGATGGCTTTGCCAAAGTACACTATGGCTTCATCCTGAAGGCCGAAAACAAGATAGCAGAGAGCATACCTTATCTAAAGGTAGTTTTATTCCCGCATTTAACATAAATATTTTACCAAAAGAAAAAAAAAAAAGGAAAATCATAATATATATAATTTGTCAAGCTAGAAGCATTCTAATTGTAAATTACAATTAAAGCTGTACATCAGAGTTATATTGCTGTATCGCTGCCAATGAACGGGAACGAGTTTATACACTAAGATTCATCTTAAACATCAAATGCTGGTTTTATTAGTACACAGCTGTGAGTCTCAAATTGTTTTGAGCCTTGCAGTATGCTGCAAACTAAAGGTTCTTGAAAGATCAAAAGAGGGAAATTGTGTACGTCCGAGTGTTTGGAAGAAATACTATGAAACAAAATCTTAATTTACAATAACCAGCTTTCTATAATGCTTATGTACATTTATAGGATTTTGAAGTCAAGTGTTTGTCTTTGAATACATCTCTGTCTTGGAGTAACTGGGGGAGGAAGCCATGGGGTTTTGCAAACTGATAACATTTTTCAAGGGCTCTTCACTGAATACTGTATTCATTCAACCTAAGTTCATAGTTATCACGGTAGTTAAATTTTATGGCCAATTTCATAGGTTTTCTCTTGGATAGAATTGACAGACTATATACAGCAATAACCTGAGCTCTTTTAGAAGTCCCATTAAAGTTTCTTTTCTACTGTTCTATTATTGTTTTTTTAAGGAAGGACTGGAGTCTGGTGACCCTGGCACAGATGATGGACGATTTTACTTTCATTTGGGTGACGCCTTGCAGAGAATAGGAGACAAAGAGGTATATATTTAACATGGCCTTGCTTTAACATCTGGCAAATCCAGACAAAACTTTTGAGCATGGGCTCATAGAAAGAAACTTGAGTAGTCCATTTTAAGTAACAGTCCAGCATATGTGTGTAGAAGTCAAGATAAGCAATAGCAAAAGAAAAAAAAAAAAAAGCAAAGAGCAATTTGCATGATGATAGAATCTGTTAGCATTCCTTCTTTTGCACTTGAATGCATGTTCTCTCATAGCACTGATAACAGTATTCTATAAACTTTACCACTTTCCCAAAGTTACCATGAAATTACTGACCCATATATGATATCAGTGATTGTGTGTAGGGTCCTGTTTTGCTAATGCTGGACTGGACAAACTTGGCTGACTGACATGTCTGAGGATTGATGATTTTTCATTTTTTTCTTCTCAAAGTGTTTATACCTTCTGTGTAGTAGAAGAATATCCCCAGAATCAAGTGGATCATAAGCTTTTTCTATAAAATTTTGATTGATATGAATTTAATTGCTAATAAGTGTCATATTCTAGGCATACAAGTGGTATGAACTTGGATACCAAAGAGGTCACTTTGCGTCGGTCTGGCAGCGCTCTCTCTACAATGTCAAGGGACTGAAAGCTCAGCCATGGTGGACAGCAAGGGAAACAGGTTATACAGATCTGGTAAAGGTAAGGAAGTTTGTCTCTGTTTAATTTATTTATTTTTTTAATAATGACTGTAATCTAAGGGGTGAAGCAGAGCAAATGCTTGTCCCTGAGGTCTGGATTACCACCTGTGAATACCAGACACCAATCTCAGACGGAGTGGAAGATTTCACTAAGATATGATAAATTGAGCTTAGGTGTTTCAAAAATTGAGAAAGGGGATAGGATTACTGAAATCATTACTAAATCCAAAGTTTGCATGGTAGGCAACTGTAATATCTCAGTAACAGCAAATTTTGGCAATGGCTGGGACACACACATGAAATTTTTTGCTTAATCAGGAAAAGCTCTGTTCTTTGTCCCTTTTATAGTACTTGGTGTAGTCTTTGGCAGATTTTTAATTGCATGAGAGAAACAATTCACAGGGATGGATTTAGCAAGAGATAATGACGCAGAATTTTAGTTCTTAAAAGTTCTTTTTATTCAGAATGAAGCATATGGTTTGTTTATATTTGTAATAATAGTTTGTATTTTCAAAAGCTGTCTATTTTTGACATTACAGATCCCTAAGCAGGTCTTTTATAACTCCAAAAAAATTACAGCAGTAATGATTTTAGAAATTAGGAAGGAAGTACCCCTTTTGTGTATGTTTTGATTATTAGTGGTTTCAGTTGTAGAATCATTGAATGGGTTGATCATAAAGATCGTAAAGATCATGCATCTCTGACCCCCTTTCCATGGGCAGGGTTGCCACTCACTAGATCAGACTGTTCAGGTCCCCATCCAACCTGACCTCTAGGGATGGCATATCCATTATTTATACAGAAGAAATTTATTACCCCAGTACACAACTGTGCGAGAAGGTCATGGAATAGATCATCCTGGACAACATGCTTGATCATATGAGGAATGAGTGTGTGATCCAAGACAGCCAGCATGGCTTCACCAGGGGAAGGTCATGCTTGACCAATCTGGTGGCCTTCTATGATGGAGTGACAGCATTGCTGGACAAGGGGAAGGCGACCAATGTCATTTACCTGGACTTGAGCAAGGCCTTTGATGTGGGGGACCATCATCACCCCCACCGCATCCTTATCTCCAAATTGGAGGAATGGGGATCTGATGGGTGGGCCACTCGATGGATAAGAAACTGGTTGAAAGGACGCAGACAGAGGGTGGTCATCAATGGCTTTGTCCAGGTGAAGGCCAGTAACGAGCGGCGTCCCCCAGGGGTCTGTGTTGGGACCAGTACTCTTTAACATCTTTATCAATGACATCAGCGACGGAATCAAGTGCACCCTCAGCAAGTTTGCTGTCGACACCAAGCTGAGTGGTGCGGTTGACATGGTGGAAGGAAGGGATGCCATGCAGAGGGACCTCGAGAGGCTAGAAAGGTGGGCCTGGGTGAACCTGATGAGGTTCAACACTTCGAAGTGCAGAGTTTTGCACTTGGGCTGGAGGAATCCCAGGCATCCACACAGACTGGAAGGAGCGGTCCTTGAGAGCAGCCCTGCAGAGAAGGACCTGGGGGTCTTGATAGATGAAAAGCTTAACATGAACCTGCAGTGTGCTCTTGCAGCTCAGAAGGAAATGGTATCCTGGGCTCCATCAGCAGAGGGGTGGCCAGCAGGGACAGGGAGGTGATTGTCCCCCTCTACTCTGCTCTTGTGAGGCTCCATCTAGAATACTGCGTCCAAGTGTGGAGCCCCCAGTAGAAAAAAGACAGGGAGCTGTTGGAGAGGGTCCAGAGGAGAGCCACAAAGATGATCAGGGGACTGGAGCACCTCCCCTACGAAGACAGGCTGAGGGAGCTGGGCTTGTTCAACCTGGAGAAAAGAAGGCTGCGGGGTGACCTCATTGCAGCCTTTCAGTACCTGAAGGAAGACAACAAACAGGAGTGGAATCAACTCTTTGAAAGGGTAGACAACTGCAGGACAAGAGGAAATAGCTTTAAGTTGAGGGAGGGAAGATTTAGGTTGGATGTCAGGGGGAAATTCTTTACAGAGAGAGTGGTGAGGTGCTGGAACAGGCTGCCCAGAGAGGTTGTGGATGCCCCGTCCCTGGAGGTGTTCAAGGCCAGGTTGGATGGGGCCCTGCAGCCTGGTCTAGAATTAAATGGGAGGTTGTTATTTCCCCATTCCATACAGCTAAATCCAGTCAGCAGTTATTACTTACTGCTTCATCTCTGTATGTTCCTGTGTCACTTGTGCAGAATGCATGGGAAATGCTTTCAAGTCCAAAGAATATTAGTTGATATTGAGAATTGTTTTATGTAGGATGAAGCACTGGAAGGGTGGATGCACTCTTCCTATATTTTGACATTTGTTGTTACATGCAAACAGAATATTTTTGATATTCTGGTAGCTTAACTGTCCTAATGGAGAATTTATCCATGACCAGCCTACTACAACTAGCTGAGGCAGTGCTAAAGCCAGCTTCTCTGACATATTCTGACAGCTCTGTCTTTGTTCATTCCGTTAACTAACGCAGCTATAGTCAGTAACACGTTAGAGCACAGACCTTGCTTGATTTTGTTATAAAGGGTCACAAGGTTCCTTGGGATTATAGATGGAGATGTTTTTTGATGGTGACTTACTTTTTCCATGGAAAACCTGTAGAAAAAAGTTGTCTTTTTCAATACTCCCAGTTTAATAAATCTGCTGAGTGGTATACTGTTCACATAGTTATATGGGGACATGAGGTGAACTGTGCTAGTCTGGTCTAGTGTGGGTCTAGTTTAGAAGTAAAAGAAGAAAAAGCATTTCCAAAGGGCAGTATTCGTTGCTACTGTGTTAAATTACTTTCTTAGGATGACATCTTTTCATTTCTGGTGTTAACTTCCCTGCTGCTTGATTTGGAAAAAAAAAAAAGGAAAAAAAAAAAAGATGAAGTAAAAGCCTAGATAACTGATGTAGTCTTGATATTTAACCTTCTGATGAGTAAGGTTGAAGAAGACAATCTTGTATTTTATTTAATTCTCTATGAACTGCTAGCCAGGATGTCTAAGGAAGAAATGTTTTGTTTAGTTACTTAGAAGTTACTTCAACAAAGAAGGAGAGGTGTACAATGGTGGTAAATCCTACTTAGTGGTACCATGCTGGTTCAAAGCATCTCTCTAGCAGCTGCCCATTAATGCTTACTTTTGCTTTGTTATGTTATTTGTAATTTCTTTGAAAGAATAGGAAGGAGGACCTGATTTCTCAGAGAGCAGAAACTGTAAGCCTTTAAGTTAGGAAGTGCGTCAAGGGACTTGCGGAAATGTTTCTGATCCACAGCAGTTCAGGGCTTTGGATCTGGAGATTCAATACATTTATTGTTTGAGTTCAGCTAAAAGTAATTTTGTTTTTATATTCAAAAACTTACCCTCCTACCCTGAGGCAATTAGCTTTCCTTTCCAGATCTTACTTAGTTTTTTGCGTTATCTCTGTTGTCTTTTGTAGAATGTCAGTATAGCATTATTTTTCTGTTCTCGTAATCGGTGAGAATGATAAATAAAGAATTGCAGTGCTATTTATCTCAGACACTTTTCACCAGTAACACATGGGAAATGATCTAGGTAACTTTGTCCTTTCCTTATTTTGAGTCTTACGATTTTGTAAAGGACTACAAGGATGCTTTGCCAACAACGTACTACAGTGAACAGCTTATTGATTAGAGTGGATCTTGTATAGACAATTTTCACTGATTGCTTAGACTTTTATTAGTTAAAAGTCTCAAGTGCAGCAAGAAAAATACAGAAAGAATGAAAGTACTGGCAACAGCACATATCCATAGTATTTTCGGTAGAGAGACACCTAACAGGATTAGGTAGTCTGGCTAATATTATCTGGACACTCATATTTCATGATGAAAATTAACAGAAACATGTATTTAAAGTCTGGCTGGATGCTTAAGAGAGCTCTGTGTTGAAAAGAGCAAGATGATGCTTACGCATGCTGATGTTTAAGCACTGCAAGCAACTGAATGAGTGCAAGGAATTATTTTAGATGGCTTTAAAAACTGCCCCTTGACTGGAGGTCATCAGAATTCCCCAAACTGTGATTATTGTGAGTGCTTTCTTACTCTGTTTCAGTAACAAAGTGAAGGGGATTGGAGACTTACCATTATTTTACTTTATAGCCCCATGGATTAAAATGCACATGTGGTCAGTAGTTATGCCTCACATGGGGGGCACTAAACTCTTAATCTTTGTCTGTGGCATTTATGAGTATGCCTTGAAAAGTGCTTGATAGCACAGAATAAACATTTTTAATATAGTCACACATAAAAATAAAACAATATTAAGAAATCCCTGTTTAAATATTGTAATTTCTTTGCCAATAAAATCTATGCTATTGCCAGATGTAAAGCAACTGTAAAGTTCCATTATTGTTAGGAACTGTATTTAAAAAGCCATATGGAGGTTTATGGGAATCAGCTGGTAAGAAACAAGTACATATGCTCCAAATGCTGTTCACCACCTGATTCTTCACTTGAAAGGAAAATATTGCACCTAAATATAATATGAATCTTGCAACCTGAGGCTTGTTTCCTCACATATTATAGAGCACATAAATATATTTTTTTCTGTAGATACTAGCTCTTGGATCAGTAGCCTGAAACACAAGTCCTCAACTTAGCTACTGTGTTTTAATAGTTTCATGCATTTGCAGAATCACAGAGTTGCAGGATTTGGAAGAAATCTCATGAGACCATTGAGTGCAACCCCCTGCTAGAGCAGGTACCCTACAATAGGTCGCACGGATAGGCATCTAGACAGGATTGAATATCTCCATAGAAGAAGACTCCACAATGTCTCTGAGCAGCCTGTTCCTGTGCTCTGTCACCCTTACTGCAAAGAAGTTCTGCATGTTAATATGGAACTTCGTATGTTGAAGTTTTAGGCTGTTGCTCCTTGTCCTATCACTGTGCACAACCAAGAAGAGCCTCACCTCATCCATTTGTTCCTGCCATTCAGTGTATGCCTAAGAGTCTGTAACACCAAGGAGATCAGGGCTGAGATGTGTTTGGACTCCTGTAACCTTCCCTTCCACCTAGGACTTGTGAATTACTCGTACTAAAGCATTATCAGTTTGTTTTATAGATGAGGGTCCAATTTCTCAAGAATACAGAAAGACTATTGATTTCAGTGGCAGTTACATCTGAAACCATTGAGGAGTTGGCTCAAAATCAATGATAAGTATTCAAATCACTTGTATGCAAAAGTGCTAGGGAAGGAGTTTTAAAGACAAGGACAGTCGCAGAACTTTGCAGGCTGACTTTCAACTGGTCACTTGTGAACAATTGACAGTGACAAACCTGCCATTAAGGATGACAACTTGAACTACCAGTGCTCTTCATGCACCTTTTGAATCTGCGTGGGTGAAAACTCCTTACATTTTTCCAGGCAAAAGATTAAGTGTCTGAGGAAACAGGGATGTGTTTGTATTATCTTTCAAAGTTTTCCAGTTTTGTTTATCTGTATTGCTATATAAATGCAAGCTTTTCATTTGTCTCTTTTCTCCAGCCTGTACAAAATCAAGTATTCAAGCTAGCATTTCCTCCTGTAGAAATGGTAGCATTGAATCACTGACTACTTGGAATTTTTTAATCTATTTTATATCCTATATTTCAGAAAAATCAGTTTTACAAAGATATTCTTGAGAACATTTCTTCTTAATGTTAGCCACTGAAGGAGAGTTACGGAAATCCATCAGTGGGAGAGAATAGGATGACTGCAGCAGGAAAATGAATGTTTTTTACTTTTATTGATGGATTAGAGAATGCAGTTTGCTAGAGGAGGAAAAAAAAAAGAGAGAGAAAACAGTAATAAGAGAAGTGCTAATTTTCATAGACCTTAACAGGCCTAAAAAGACTGTAGTGAGAGGTAGTCTGTGTATTACAGACAGCATGTTCCAGCCGTAACTTTGACACTGAAAATGTCTTACAGAAGTGCTTTGTTCAGGAGCAGAAAGACAAAATGAAAACTATTCACCCAAAATAAGGTTTAGCAAGTAAAGTAAGAAGCTGGGAAATGAAAGTCATGTCATTATTATCTAGATCCATTGTCAAGCTGTGAGTTTCTCAGTTTTGTTACTGTAGCATTAAATGGACTTAGTACTGGCAGAATGCAAGGTTTGCTAATCTGCCTGATTTTCACAAATAGAATGTCCTAAGGCAGCAGAGAAGAGCAGACATGTTAATTCTACAATCTTGTGGGTTTGGTGTGTATAAAGTACAAGGTAGCTTACACGTTGTATCCATAAATTGTCATCTGACATTTCAAGTTGTATTTGATCATTTTCAATAGCATCACAATGTGTAAGTGCATCTTTGCAGACCTTTTTGAAGGTTTAAATCACAGCTGTCAACCGAAGTAGCTTGTTTGCATTTGTCCTCTTTGAACTGAGATGTTCTGTCAGTGCTTGGAGTTTCAGTTTACACAGTGGTTTTCCAGTTGCAAGAGCACTTCTGGGTAATCTGTGCTATGTTTGAGAAGACCAGTACTCTTTTTAGCTTGCAATATAAAGTCATCAGTTAAAGTGCCCTTTGGCTAACCAGAGCAAGTAAAGTCAGGCTTTCACTGCAAAGAGTCTGGGGACCATTGAAATTGTTAATATGAGTATAATTGAATCTGAAGAATGCTGTGTAAATTGTTCCTGCCTTAGCGTGACAGAAGGAAATAGGTATGTATAAGGAAAATTGATAATAATGATGAATACTTGTGTGTGTGTGCTTTTTTAATTAGAAAGTTAATAATGGAAACAACAACAAAAAAAAAAAGTGAAATGCAGTAAGTTCTCAGTGCAGTAACATGGCTTTCATAACAGTCCTTAGAAAAAAACTGGAAGCTCATTCGAGATGAGGGGCTTGATGTGATGGATAAAAAAAGAAGCCTCTTCTTGCCTGAAGATGAGAATCTACGAGAAAAAGGAGACTGGAGTCAGTTTACTTTATGGCAACAAGGTAAAACATTCTGTATTTCTTTTCCCAGTTTTACTTTCTCAGATTAATGTAGTATAAAAAGGAGTTTTTCCTGAATGTTTTGTTTTGTTTTGTTTTTTAAATCGTTGAACCTGTTCTTTAAGTCTGCAGGGGAGGGGAGGTAACAGAATACTGTCTGAGACCCCATTGACAGCGAACAAGAATTCTTATTGCCCACAGGCTCCTCTAACAATCCATTCAGGGTGACACTCACCTTGTGGCAGGGCTGCCAGAATTTTGCATGTTAATGCATAGTAGAGATCATTCTGAAGGAGGACAGGAAAGCAGAAGACATATCCTCAATGTTTTATTGCCCTGTAGGTGAGGTCCGTTGTTCAGAAATGGTATGGGCAAAGGAATCTGAGCTCTAAAAAACCTGTTTGTCACTGTCCTGTGGAAAGTTTAATTACAGGGATGACCTGAATTTCTTAAAAGACTCTACATGTCAAAGAGTCCTGTAAGATAAACTATTAATGGCCAAAGTCTATCAAAATAGTTGGTGAAATGATACAGTATCGTTGGCATTATTTGTCTTTTTAACAATTATACTTTAATGATGTACTTAATCGCTAATAAAAATATAACCACACTTTCAGAATCACGTTTGAATAGGTAGAAAGCCTACTCTTTTCAAATAATTTAAAAGCAAAGAAATGGCAGTCTGCTCTGATGTTACAACATGTAAGCTGGCATTTCTGTTTCATAATTTGAGAAATGTGATTATGAATACTTACTGATTTTGGTGTCAGCTCTCTAGCAGCTTTGTTGCTGTTCTGCAAAGTAGAAAACAAGGGACTGTTTGTTCATTGCATTTATTAGTGCTACATCACTTATTTTCACTAGGAAGAAAAAATGAGAATGCTTGTAAAGGTGTTCCAAAAACGTGTGCTTTATTGGAAAGATTCCCAGAAGCTACGGGCTGCCGAAGAGGACAGGTACCTGGCAAACTTCTTTGTTTTTGCAAATCCCTAAGGCTGGGTGCAGGTGATGCTGAGGAATGTGTATAGGAGGACACATGAACTTGGTGTATTTAGCGATGCCACAGACACACAACAAAGTCAATACTGTAAATACCTTCAGCAAATACAAGGTAAAATATATTAGCTAAAGGTTTCTCATGGAATTTTTAGTTGAACCAGTTTTTCTTGTGATCATAAGGAGTTCGTGTTGGGTAAGTAGTTTACTGTGGGTCAATTGGTGGTAATAAATTACTAAACTTAGTCTTACGTGATCTATTGTGACACACAGCTAACCCTGCTTTGAGCAGTTGGTCAGGCTAGATACTTTCTAACCCAAGTTTGCCAGGCCAAACAGTGCCACTGTCACATAAAGGAAGAAACTTTACATCCATGGGCTGTGTCCTTGGGTGTCAACAAAATCAGTTTCATTTACGCGATCTATGCTGATTACTCTGCTACAAATTAACCTCATTAAATGATGCAGAAGATCTCTATGCTAGGGATCAAATATACATATGCCACTGAATGACCCAACAGTGATAACAACTGATTCTGTAGATCAGAATTTTTTTTTCCAAAGAAATTATTAAGCCTGAAAGCTTTAGCAAGCAAAACGAAGGATACTGAAGTTGAAAAACACAGTGCATAATCCTGAGTCTTTTGTGTAAGTGTCCATTTCTTTCATTAGACTTCCTTTTGTGCAGAAGAACACTGAATGGCCAGTGTTATGACAGTGAATAAGGCTGTTGTTTCATTCGTTTGTTACAGAAGCTGGTTGAAGTGAATGTAAGTGATGAAAGAAATCATTACAGTGTGGCAAATCCCAAGAAAACTGCGTTCTGTGGCATCCACAACTGAAAACAAATCTATCCCAGATTGCAAAAAGCTACTTTTGTGTTCATCATTTTTGGCACCCCAGTACCCCAGTAAAACTCCTCAGAGTTTTAGTCTTCAACCACAGTATAACCCGTCTGTAGTTCAGGAATATTTGATGATGTACATGTAATTCTTGAGTGCAGCACGTGTGTGTTTATGTATTTGTATATGTATATGTATATGTATATGTATATGTATATGTATATACACAGACGTATCTAAACAGATATGTGGAGGCAAATTGCATACATGACAGTAATAATTCCACAATGCAAGTATTTCTAGCATTATAGAAGTATTTCTGTGGGATATCAGTAATTTCCCTCCATAGCCAGTAGTAGCAGTTATTTGAGTTTCTTCAGAGACTGACAGGGTAAACAAGCTAATGTATCTCACTGTAGCAGAGGCAGTGTAATGGAGCATCTGTGTGTGCCACGGCCACTGGAGCTTATTGCTTGCTGTCGTAAGACATCTCTGGTAAGACCAAACCTCAGATGTTGGGAACAGCTAAGGCATTAGGCATACATTCTTTTATGCTTCTTTTGTTGTAACTGGAAAGTTGGGAATATCTTAAAAATAACAGGATTTCACAAAGCTACCCTGTCCTACCCTGAAAAGGTGCTCCACCACTGCATAATATTCATCCTTTTCATTAGGCCCTTGTAGAATCACAATGATAATATCCCTGCTGAGCCGCCTTTTCTCCAGACTGAGCATTCCCATCTCTCTCAGCCTTCCCTTACATTTCAGAGGCCATTGTTTATCTTTGTGACCCTTCACCAGACTTACTCAATGTATATATGTTTATCTTGGAGTGAGTAGCCATCTGGACCCATCACTGAGAGTGCTTGAGAGTAAGGGTCACCTCCCTCAACCTGTTTGCAAGGCTCTGCCAAAGGCAGCCCAGGAGGCTCGTGGCCTTCTCTTCTACAAGAACACATTGTTTTAAGCTGTTGTTTACAAAGACCCTGAGTTCTTTTTTTCTGTGAAGTTGTTTTCCAGACAGTTGTTCTATGGCTTGTAGTGATGCATACAGTTATTTCTCTCCAGTGCAGGACTTTTCATTTCTTTGTTGAACTTCATGAGGTTTGTGTTTCTTCCAATCTCCAACTTGTCAAAACCCTTATGAATGACAGCAAAAAAAAACCTGATGTACCAGCCTTTTCTCCTCGATATTCTATCCTTGACAAGAGATGTACTTTCCTTTCATCCAGGACATTAGTGAAGCATAAACAGTGTTGGACCCAATACTGAACCCTGGGGTATATCTCTGGTGAGCTGTGGGTGTTGTGCTTTGATCACAGCTCCTTGAGCCTGTCTGAACTGTCAGTTTTCAGCCTCCTTCACTGTCAGTTTACCTATTTTCCACTTCATCAGTTTGTCAATGAGGATGTTACTGGCAGACAGTGTCAAAAGCCTTACAAAAGTTGAGCTAAACAATACCCACCAATCTCCCCTCATCCATCAAGCTAGACATCTCACTGTAGAAAGCTGGTTAAGCATGATTTCCACTTCGTAAATCCATGCTGACTGCCCCAACCACCTTTTCCTTCATGTGTTTGAAAATGGCTTCCAGGATTACTTGCTCCATCTGTAAGATGAAACTGACTGTAGTTCCTCAGATCCTCCTTGTTGCCCACAGTAATGACATGAATATTTGCTTTCTTACAGTCCCTAGGAACCTTCCCAGCCATAGCCTTTCAGAGATTGAGGGTGACCTTTTGACATGATCAGCCAGCTCCTTCAGTACTCCTGATTAAAACCTGCTAGGGTCTATGCAATGATTTTTTGAGTTTGTTTACTGTTTCTTAACATGAGGGTAAGTCTTTGCACCAGTCTTCTCCACTGTTCTCAGGTGCCTGGAATTCCTGTAGGTCAATCTTATCAGTAAAGACTGAGGCAAAAAAGGCATCTAGTGCCTTAGCCTTTTCCATGGGCTTTGTCATCAGATCTCCTGCCACATTCAGCCATGGGCCTTTGTTTTTCCTATACTTCCTTTTATTGCTGATGAACCTGTTGAAATCTTTAATGATGCCCTTCAATTTAATCTCTAGATCTCACCAGATGAGCCTTGACTTTCTTTCATCTCTGCATACTCTATGTTCTTCTGGAGTAACCTCACCCTTCTTTTTTCTCTTGTATGCTTCTTTATTTCAGCTTTTCAGTATCTCTGTGCTTCTTAACTGTAGGGATAGACTGTTCTTGAGCTTGGAGGACGTGATCCTTAAAAATAAACCAAATTACCTAGACTTCTCTCCAGTATTGTGTCTTTTGATATTTTTCCTAGCAGATCCCTGAATAAATCAGTCTACTCTCCCGAAGCTGTGGGTAGTACTCCAGCTTTTTGCCTGTCTCCCTATCCCCATGACCCTAAACTCCATCACATAACCATCTCAGCTTCAGCTAAGACTTTCAGTAGCCTTCACAATCCCATCGTTATCTGAGAGTGACTACCAGCCAGTCACTCTGGCCAATGCATGTCTTGTGCCTCCTGTAGACTGTCCTTTTAGATGTTAAGTGTGTCTGCAGGTCTTACATTGGATATAGGATGTTTTTCTACTGGCACACAAGAGATAATTCATGTCAGCCCACAACAAAATGAAAAATATACATGCACACCACAGTATTGAACACCTTCAGGAAGTGGGAATACACAAGTATTGCTAAGACTAACAGAAGGTGATATCATCATGGAAGAGATGTAATGAAGTCCTGAACTCAAAGCAGTATGGTTGTGAAAATGACCTTACTGAAGGCTTCTCTCTCTTCTTGCAGATCAAATATTCTGTCATGCTTCCAGGAACTCATGTTTGGCCCCACACAGGACCCACCAATTGTCGGCTAAGGATGCATCTGGGCTTAGTGATACCTAAAGAAGGCTGCAGAATTCGATGTGCCCAGGAAAACAGGTATTGTCTGGGATTTTTGGTTCGTTGGCTGTTTTTGTTGTTATTAATTTTCCTCTACCATCCTTAGCCCTGAAAAGATATGTGGTAATGTGTCTAATGGAAAGGAAAAAAAAACAAAAGAGGATGTTTTACTAATCAGGAGGTGCTATGTATTTCTTTAAGCAGGCAACTTGCACCCTCGCTCTTGGTATAAACATATCCATGTCAGTTGTCAAACAAACAATGCCAGAAGAATCTTTAGAGACATAGCTGCTCTTTCTGTGTTAGTGTGGGGAAAAAATGTTTTTTCGTCCATGAAATCTGTGTTTACTTTTACAATGCCAATCTAACATACTTGCCAAAAGAGTTGTTCTATCTGATCTATTTTTTGTGTTTTTGTTATTTTGTTTTTGTTTGTTTGTTTTTTAATTTTGACTTTGAATTCAATGCTGTTTACTTACAGAGCAGCAGCTATTGCTGTTCTCACCACTGTAACCAAATACTATTGTATGTCTGCAGAAACCTTATTCCTAGCATTCATTCTAATTCAAGATAATTCAGTTAGAAAATATTCCAGTCCAATTTTTATGTGACACTATATTTTCCTTTGTTTAAAGATAATAACTATATTGCTTTTCACAGGCTTAACTTGCAGAACTAGGTGGACTTCTAATAATGCTTCGTATCTCAATATATTTATTTGGAATAGTGAATATTTTGTCTATAGCATCTGAGTGCAACAAGTGTTGACTTTGAATTCTTTCTGTGGTACTACTGTAGAGTAATATTTGATATGATGAAATGAAGCACCACTCCTGTTTGCATGACTGCAATATGTGGCAAAGATTTTTTTCCAGAACATCTGAAAATAACTACAACAAGAAATTTTTATAATTTTTGTAGATGCAATTATGCAACTGTTAAAAATGTTACTGCAGATGTGTTAGGGCTCCTGCCAACATAACACTGACTGTGTCAGACTGTTAAACTATAAAACCTACACTGCCTAGGTTGTGACAAATATGCTTGTTTCCATCATTTCAATCCAATATCCAAAACAAGTTTAAGATAGACATTGGGATGAAGGTAGAGATACCTAATAGGCTAATGGATTAACAGGAAAACATGAATTCTTTTAACTGTGGGACATTATTGTGAGTTCAGATCTACAGTGACTGGAAGGCATTATCACAGGTAGCTATTCTGTGCCTGTGTAAACAAGGTGGTGGTTTTGATTCCCTTCCAAGGTAGCAGGTGTCCACAACTCATCTCCCGTTATTGTAGCTGACCACTCTTCTTTGCCTTAATCTGAACAGAAGAGATAGTGGTGTGGAAAATGAACTTAACTACCCCCCTTGGTTCCCCAACATCAGGATGTGTCAGAGCAGAGCGGAGAAATGTCTGTTGTTGCTGGTGTGCTGCGGTCAGAGCATTTCACTCAGTATCTAGGCTTCTGAACTAGGTTCATTTTTATGCATCCAACTCGCTCATTTGAAATGTAGCACTCATATTCAAGAGGTGACCACAGCCTGTGTTGGAATGTGTTAACTTCAGTTGATTTTTGGCAAGAGCTATACATTCGAAGAGAGGGTTTTCATTTAAAGTGTGTCCAGTAATGGCCATGAAAAGCTGCTTTTATATTCCCTTTCTCACAGAAGCTGATAGAGATGAACTGCCATGGAAAGAAATTACGTCAGGAAGAAATTGTATCTTTAGCATTTTCATTTTCTCCTCTCCTAGTGGATCAGAACATTAGGAAGCTGGTGGTTTCAAACAGGAGAGCTGGCACAAGTATGAAGGTTTGACAGGGCTTTGATGCCATCCTTCTTTGGATTCCTGTCCCACTGCTGCATGCACAATATAGAAAATGTTGTACCTGTTAGCTCTGTGTCACCCAGCGTGTGTTTAGAGGGACAGTGCTACTATGCAGCTCATTCTTTGATGGACAGGCAACTCAGCTCTATCTAGTACTGTGATTTTCTCTGTTACCTGCAGGAGAATCTTTTGATTGCTACCAGGAGCTTGTGCACCTCATTGTTATTCAGCACAGCTGTAGTAATTTGAGGTCATTGGGGCATTTTCAAGTCTGAAGGGAAGCCTAGGGTACAGTGTACAGAAATGGTAGGTAAATATCTAGCTATCAGAAATCAAACATCTGTCAGATGTGGTAATCGTGTTTTGAAACAAATATGCAGAATTACTGCCTTAAGCAGAAGTCAGTCCAAAATCTCACGTGTGACAGGTGACATAAGAGCTGAGCAGGTGATATAAAACTACTTCAAAGTGGCTTAGCACCACGCCAGAGTAATATTGTCCTTGTGGTTCCACTGTGAAGTGTTTCTGATACCATGAAGACATCTGGAAAATACTTATTTGCATACTAATGGTGAGTTTTGTAATCTATGCAAAAAGGGCTAATAGTTCTGTCAACTTTATGACTTCTTTGTTATGCAAAACAGCTCATCCCAGATGGATACAGTTTGTAACCTCTGAAGCTATTTCATCTGGATACTTGGAGTTTCTGTTGTCTTTAACGAGGCTTACACTTTCAGGATATTTAGCGCAGTGCTGTTTGGACTTTCTTTAATCAAAAATAAACATAAAAAAAATCAAAATAACAACAACCCCACAGTTCTTTACCACATAAAAACATTGAGTTGAGTAATACCAATGTAATTCTAGTGCAGTAGCAGAGAATCAGAGATGATATGACAATATGACATAAAACATTTTTCCTATTGGATAACATTTTCCTAACATTTCCTATTGGATAGCTGACTCAGTAGCAGAAAAAAATACATGATCATACTTAAAACCTGCAGGAGATAATTATGTGGGCCTTCAATGTTCGTGTGCAAGGCAGTATGAATTTTTCAGTGTTATGCTGGTTGCCCTCTGTTGCTTAATATGTGTTTAAATTATCGTTTCAACTGAGATAATCCTATTTCAATTTCCACTTCCCTTCAGATCATTAGAGGACAACCCCATAAATGTTGATAGCTAAGTTTTGCTTTTGTTGACTTAAATGCTCAAAAATACCTAGATGACTTAGGAATCCAAATATCATTTTTCACATATTACTTTTTTTTTAACAGAAAGTTGTTTTCTATTTGAGTGAACATAGTTGAATGAGCTAAGCAATTTATTTCCATCTTTGATGACAAGATCTTTGCTTCTTTATCATCACTACTGCTTACAGTTTCTAATTTCCTTTAGGGACAACAATGCTCAGGAACTGCTTTTCTTGTTGAAATACTTGATTATACATTCATAGTAGGATGGCGTTAGGAGGTAACATTGGTTGTTACTGATTTGACTGACTGTTATATCCCTTCAGATGAGACTCAATGAATAATCAAACAAATGCTTCTGTCTTTCTGCGATGTAAAATAAATTTGCTTTGCTTGTACCACTGCCTAACTTCATGATAGGCAAGCTATGTAATACACAACTGCCTACTTGTATCTAAGTGGAGTAGGCAAGACTGTGATCTGAAGGGCAGTGACAGTGTGATGACATTATCTCTAATGTTCTCTGCTCAGATGCTGATTTTTGCAGTAATAAGGCTTTAAGTCTCTTCAAAATTATGAATTCAGATCTCAACAGGCTGGAGAAGTGGGGGAAATGAAGCTTCATGAAGTTCAACAAAGGCAAAGCCCTGCAATCTGATAACAGATAACAGTATAGGCAGGGTGGGCACTGGATAGAAAGCAGCTTTACTGAGAAGGGCTAACAGTCCTAGTAGGCATGTTGAACATGTGCTCTTGTGGTGGAAGGCTAACCTCACGCTGAATTACACTATTAGTAAGTGCATATGAATCAGTTTGAGGGAAGCAATTTTTTCCCTCTTCTGCATCCAAACACTGCATCTGTGTCTGGTTTGGGACACTTCTGTGCAAGAAAGTCATTGATAAGTTGAAGTGACTTCTGTGGAGGATGACCAAGAAAAAGCTGGACCGTGTGACACTTGAGAAGAGGTTCAGAGAGAGGTGATGCCCGTCATTGTAGATATTAAAAACTCCACTAGATGAAAACCTGAGATATCTCATCTAGCTTCAACACTAAATTCAGCTTTGCAGTAAGTCTTGCTCTCAGCAGAGGCTTGGAACAGATGACCTTCTGAAGTTTCTTCCGACCTAAATTGTCCTGTGATTTTATACTTCATAAAACAGAAAGAAATGCAGATTCATAAACCAGTGATATTTCCCATCTCCATTTGCTCTTGCTGTGGCTTTTAAATCTGGCCATTGTCTTAATTTTTCAAACAATGGAGGTGCTTAAAAATAAGCCGGTTTGTGTAAGTCATGTTTTCCTTTTTGGGCCTAACAGAGGTACAGGTCTTGGAAAGATTCCATTGTTACAACTTGGCTTTACTTATAACAGTGAACAGTAAGCCAGAGTACTTAGGTCCACTTCAGTGGTCTCTGCCTTAGTGGTATTTGGCAAGCAGAAGAGGTTTAAATTATGTGTTCTCATGCTTTCAGTTCAACGTTAGCAGAATAACCTGACTCAATGCATGCTATAGCACTGCGACCTTCTTATGAAGAAAAATCTTTAGACTCTGTGCTTTGAATGGATTTATGGGATATGACTTATGTTCACTGAAATTATAAAGCAGGATCAGGACCTAATTGTGTTGTTCTGGTTTTCAGAGAAAGAAGAAAAAAAAACAAAAAAAAAACAGATTTAAAGTAATTTATTTTCAAGCCATATTGCTCGTCACTCCATCAGTTTGCATTACTCATTGAGTGTATATCTAATTAGAAAAGAGGGAGAAGATTACTGTACCAGTATTAGGCCCCTGAGTTTGATGAACACTCCCAGCTTATTGGACTAAACTCATAAAAATTAAATAAATAACAAACATTGCAAATGTCTGAATATGTATGTGGGCACATGTGGCCATAACTAGGCAGAGGGAGAGAAAACAATCAATAATACAAAGCTTCTAATCTTAGACTGATCTTCCTGTAGTTTATTTCAATTAAATCTCTAGTACTCCAGTATATATACATTAGGTACTGAATTCATGACTGTGCAATATATAATGTTTAAGTGATAATGGTTCTCACATGTAGGAGAACATCCTCAGAGCTGATGTATAGCTTGCATGCGTCAAAGCACTTCAAATACTGCACTAAAGCATGTTCTTTTTGTGTTGCAGAACCTGGGAAGAAGGGAAAGTTCTTATTTTTGATGACTCTTTCGAGCACGAAGTGTGGCAGGATGCTGAAAGTTATCGTCTGATATTCATTGTTGATGTGTGGCACCCTGAGTTAACAACACAACAGAGACGAACCCTTCCTGCTATTTAAGGGATTATATCTGATGTGAAGAGCCAGAGGAGTTTTATCCTGACAGAGTATGCAAATAGAAACATGCAGGGTTAATTTATACAGCATATGAAGAATGCTAGTATTGTAAGGGTTAAAAGAGATAATGACATTCTACAATCACAGAGGACTTGAGTTTAAAAAAACAGAAAGAAAAAAAAAGCAAAAAAAAAAAAGCCATGTTTGTTTCATACTGATATAGCACTGATACGTATTGTTTTTCAGGCTGCAAGTCTGAGAATACAAATCTTGTCTGTCAAGGAGCAATACAGGTCTGGATTTTCAAGCTGAGGAATGTGCAGATGTTTTTACCATGCCTGTATGATGTGTTCAAAAACAGTCATCTACCTGCCTGGCCACGTTCAGGCACAGGGTTTGCAATAATACATCTGGGAAATACATCCCAGGCTTCTGTCTGCAAGCAGCACGTATGGTATTTATAGACACATGCATCCAATCAGCTTTGATAATCACTGTGCAGTTGTAGTGTTAACTGCTTTAGGTATAAAACATGTCCCTATGTTATCAACTCTAGATAATGTGAATGGGTTGTGTGTTTTGTTGTTTTTTCTACCTGAATAACTATTTTTCTAGCATAATTATGAACAGATCTTCTTCAATCAACCACTATTTTTAAAAATAATGTATATACAAAGTACATCTCTAGCTATAAGCATATATTTTACATTGTGCTGTAGCACAACAAAAGTAGTATATGGACAGATTTCATTTTGCCACCTGCGGCCTTCTCTTGCCTTCCTAGAAATGCAAACAGAAACTTGCATACTCCGCTTCTTAGTAGAGCGTTGTCCTTCTAAAACAAAATAGTTCTCTTAGCAGGTAAACTTCAGTTTTGTAATGTGACTTTGGAAGACGTTGACTTGACCTAGTGGTGTTTTCCTTTTCTTGAAATGTATGGTACAATCCGGAAACAGCATAATTTACAGTATACTCTGTATTTGCTACCCAGAGTTTACTGTATGTTAAAAAGGCCTTATTTTTAAGAGAGAAATCCTGGATGTTTAAGCAGTTGGCTGGTCTTTTGGTTCCTCACTGTTTGATGGGAGATGGAAGGTGCAGAAGCCTCCACTGTTGATTTCTAAGAACACTAACAAAATAAACTAGAGTTTGCACAGATAATGTTTGAAACCAGCTGTTATCTACTCACCTGCAAAGCCAGCGGAGAGTGGATAGGTGTGCTAGGATGCTTGGGTCTGCTCAAGCTCATCAAGAGCAGTAGCATCACTAGTGAGGGTTGTGAGAGACAGGTACTAAGCAAGGAGACATTAGGGTTACTGAGTCTTCAGAGCTTTGGCCTCGTGGTTTAAAGGACACTGAAGAATTGTCTTATTTGCTTAATATTCCATGATTTTGTACTGCAGAGACTACATCATGGTGCCTAAGTATTGTAGGTATAAACAGCCCATGCTGCCTGATTGCCATATTTGCTAGGCAAAATATAGGCAGCAGCCTTGCATTCCCATAAATTGAATGCTTTTTCAGACTTTGTATTTTATTAAGAGATCTTGTAATGCCATGTAATGCATGACAGTTGTACCATAAGCTGTTGTAACCCATTTCTGGAGGTGTGCACTTTAATTTCCTTTCTGGCTATTAAAAAATAAATAGAACACACACTGATAAGCCCTCTCTGTTCAAGAGTCAGTTTTAGGTAGCAGTGGTAATTAGACTTTAACGTATTGTCCATATCAGCAATAACACAGAGTACCATCTGCTGTAAGGTGACAGTTCTCTGTGAATAATCATGGAAACTGAGAAAGATTTATAAGTTTCAAACTTTAGAAAATATAAAAGTACTTTTGGAGGTTTTACAAGAATTATGTATGAAACTGGAAATAATGTACTTTTTATATTAAGGAGTCGTAGTACAGTAAGAAAAAAAGTAATGCTGGTAGTTAAGTCGGGCTGTGCTTTGTATCTCCATACACTTATCCAGCAGTAGAAATTATAAACTATTTTGCTATTCTGTAAAATAAAGACATAGTTTGTAATGAAGTAATCAAGAACTGTTTAAACCAAAATTAGCAGCTTAGGAATGCTTTTATTAATATTGCATTTTAGTTTCTATAGCACAGAGTGAACACTAAAGGAGTGGTAAAAACTTTGGAGCTTTATTTATAAGAAAACATGCTGTCCTGATTGTTCCTTTGAAGTCACATGCTTCATGTATACAGATTGCAATTGGCAAATAGATCAAAGTTACCTACCTAGAATGTGCGTGTGCCTGAGTGGCACTGTTCATTAAACTGTGTAGTGACATATTGACCGTCTGATATCTTAAGTGCCTTGAATGTGACAAGGTTTCTTGTGAATAGCTGCTGCAGCACTGAAGTGATTCTGCTCTCTGCCGACCTGTCAAGGAGCTGAGAGCATCTCTTTTTGTTAGATTCATTTATTGGATTAGATACATAAATGGTGAATATATATATATGTATGTATAGTGAAACACAGAAAGTAGGCAGTGAATAAGTAGTATGTTATTTTAGTTATTCCTCTTTGCCATCCAGTATTTCATGTTGTAAAAGCTTTTTATACATTGGAAATACCAACGGATGAAGTGAATTGAAATGCTTTTCAGATTGAGCACTATTGCAATTTAAATGTTTCATTCTTCAGCTGTGTTTACAGAGGAAATGGCAGCACAGGGCATTTGTAAGGTAGTAAGTACATACTTGAATGAGCAGTGTAGGCCATTACAAAGATTCAGTGGCAGTGGAGATAAGTGTATTAACAGAGAAAAATTGCAAACCAAAGTATTTCTTCACTAATGCTGCAGTGTAGTAGGTGTCTGCCTTGGTGTTGTTTTTTTTTTTTTGTTTGTTTGTTTTATGTACGTTTGATTTACATTATGCTTTAAGCAAGCTTGCTCTGACCAATCCAGATGTCTGAGAGTCTTCATGAGCCTTGGGGAAAGGGGGAGCTGTGTCCAGACTCAGCTTTCTGTAGTGGGTATATAATAATAATGCCATAGGGTAGAGGAATGGAAAAAAAAAAACAAAGTTAAATGGGCTCAGTCATTTGTTTAATGTCCCTGCAAGCCTCAGAGTGTTTGCTGCTTTTTCTGACTCCTTTGCTGGGAACATTCGCTGCCCTAAAGACTCTCTACTGTGGAGGCCAGGCCTTGCCCCAGTAACACACCGCTACAGAGGAAGGTTACTGTGAATAAGACTGTCCTGTACACATACAAGCAGGTACAACCTAGTTGTGTTAATGGGATCTGCAGGATATCTTTTCTGCCTTGTGCAAGTGTAACAGGCTGTGAATGAAGGCAGTGTTTTGTTACTCCATTTGTTAGGGATGACCATTTCCAGCTGACCCAGGCCACCACGTTCAGAGCATTGCTTATGAATCTGGTGGATGTTCCAGAGCTGTATGAAAAACTTGTGCAGCCCGTGAGTTATCATCTCATTTTATATATGTATGGTTTATGCAGTTATCTTTGATATGTTGGTGCCAACCACATGTTCTAGGAACTGTCAGTGCATGGCAATTAAATTGAAGACAAAAAGCATGTATGGTGGTTGTAACTGTTTTAGGAAATAAAGTCACTGCTCATGCAATTTGATAACAATTTTTCTTTTATTTCTTTAATCTGACTTCCATTTCAATGAAGGGATGGGACTCTTCTTGCAAATAGAGCAAAGAGAAAGATAACAAACTGATCTTTGGCATTTCAGTTCTTCTGTTTGTCCACATTTCCTTCTAGCAGAAGCCTGTACTGAGTAATTAATTCTAAGTTTTCCTTTCTCATTTTAACCACGGCCCGCATCTGCAGTCAGCATTCCCTTCTGGCTACACCTTTAACTGACTGCAGGAGGAGAGGGGGATAAATGGTTCTGCAGAGCTTTTATTTGAGGTTGGGACTTAAATGAAAAATCTGAATGAGCCATTAATCACTGGTGAATGTGTCTGGTGGGTCTCCCTGGCACCCCCTCGCATACACGCACACACGTCTAATGGGTTCCCGAGTCGCCTGTGGAAAAACATGTTGTTAGAATTAAATAATTGCATTCCAAATTGTCTGTATCTGCCTCCCACACAGCTCATTCCACTTAGCTGACAGTTTTGTAAGGGTTTCAAAAGTTAAGAATCCTTTTTGCTAGATACTGAAATAAGTGACCCCCCCCTAAAAGCAATATGGATGAGGCAATTGCAAAGTGTCATGTTGTACGGCATTATGCTGGCACTGATTTTTACTTTTTTAATACAAAATCCTTCTGCAGATCTGAAACATACTGTAGATAATGATGATTCTGCCCTCTGAGCAACACTGAACAGTGCAGACTTTAAAGATGCTTTGCTTTAATACACCTTTAACCTTAGCTTCTATAAAATTGAGCGTCCCTACTGGAGGCTTCAGGAAAACTTCTACTGACACACACTGGTTTCTTTAAAAGGAGAGGGCAGTCCCATCATTTCCAATTTTTTAATGCCAGAAGTCCAAGAAGGAAAGAAGACAAAATTCTTTACATGTGGACAGACCCCCACTGTGTCTTCCTTCACACCCTGTGTCAATAGAAAGGCTGTTCAGCGTTGGCTGCATGGACAGGTGGCTGGTGGCTCTTGTTACTCGCTCAAGAAAGATGAAGGACTTGTTCTCAAGCGAAACGCGTGTGAATGCGTATCGTGTGCTCGGTGGTTTCTGGGTGGGTGGGGTCTGGATGTCTGCAGACAGCATGTGGGGCTTAGTCCAGGGCCAGCAGTGGCTGGGTGTTCTCGCTTTCCCCCAGGTCCTCGTGCTTCAGCGTGCCGGCTTCCACCACCGACTGGGACCTGAAAGGAAGAACAGGGACGTGCCAGCGAGGGCTGCTGCAGAAACACTCCCTGTCCTGCAATCCCTTTGCTTCGCTTCGCTTCATCATTTTTGCTTTTGGCCATTTTCTCCTCCATAGCTTTGAATTTGTTTATTCCAGACTATGCAAGAAATTGGAGATGCGACCCTTTAAATGTGAATAAAAAGTGACTCCTTAATTATTTCAAGTGCTGTCAAAATATTTAGTGCTTAGCTACTATCCATGATGCTGAATGCGCACAGCAAAGTGAAGGTCTGCTGCTGAGGTACCATGGGATCTGTTGGTGCTTCTTGTCCTCCAGGACAACGTCATTCTGCTCCTGCTTACTTTGCACCAATAAAATAACACAAGTGCTCACGGGAGTGAGTCTCAGCTCATGCTTGTTACAAATCTTGAGACCATCAAGTACATTAATCACGTTTTACTGATGAGGAGATCTAAGGGCAGAACTTCCCTGAGTTGCCTAGTTCAGTGAAGAAAGCAGCACTAATGTGATACATGGGAGCTTCTGGTGTGCCCATTCCTGCCATTTATCTCCTCATCTACACCCTTGAAGGAGAATCTTGTTCAGGGACAGTTAATTTTAAATTCATTTCTATCTTCAAGGTGGGAAACATAGTTTATCCATTGCTTCTAATGAGGAGAAATAAAAAAAAAAAAAAAAAAGAGCAGAACAAATGAGTAAGAAAGTGGAGCGTGGAGATTTCTGGCAGTGACAAAAGCTGAATGGCTTTAACCTAATGGGAAAATTCAAGAAGATTTCATTTTCTGTGGCCTGTGTGCTCCTGAGTTTGCCCACTGAGCTATGGAAGGAGGAACTGATGAGTACGTGGCAGAGATTCATTATCCTTTATTTTCTCTGCTTCAGGCTGAGAATTGCCTCCCAGTTTGTAGTCAGCAATGAGTTTTAGAGCGAAATCACTCTCTGGATCGGGAACTTTTCCAAAGGCAGCAGGAGCGAGCATTTGCATGTGGCATAATATCATTTTAAAGAGCCAGTTTTGTCATGGATAGCTTTTAGAACTAAGGATAACATTACTTTTGGGATGTGCCTGTAGTTCCCATTTGATCATTATAGTAACCTTGGTTTAAGCATCAGCTATTTTATGAGATTAGAGATCGCTTCTCTTTTGATAAGCATCATTAATAAATTGTGTCCTGTTGTACTATAGCACTTGATCACCAATGAATACTGTGACTGTGAATATCTTGTATAATTATTTTTCTTATGCCTGAAGCTTCTATGAAAGCAGTCTCCAAGAGAAAAGATGATTTGCAATAGGCAATGTTACGTAAAGCATTTCAGTCTGACCAGGAATTACATTTTGCTGTGGGGACCATGACAAACACTTTTTGAAAAAAGGCTCCCTGTATGTATCTAACACACATTTTGTCTGAGAAAGCATCACCGCTCTGTGTATGGGCAAGTTTACACAGTATTAGTATCTTTCTATGTTGGCTGTATTATTAAAGCTAGTACTCAAACTAGGTTTCTGTTTTAATAGCAATGCTGACCACTTTGACTGCATTGCCATTTTTTTCCTTCACTGATGCACTATCCTGTAATAAAGAAATTCATGGAAATAAATCCTCCATGTCCTTGTGTATTACTGAACCCTGCAAATGAAAGTTCCCTGTGATCCTCACACTTGAAGGCTGGGGAATCCTACTAAGTTGTAACTGCTGCATGTCCTCAACCACGCTGGGGCTGCCTGGCTTGAGTCTGGCCTTGCACAACGTTCCCTATGCTGTATCTTTCATGCCAGCGGACACTGCATCTCATACACTTGGAGCTGATGTTAAAACTTACAAGCTGCTATCTGGTTTGAATTAGGTGTCGCCTACAGCTAGATCAGGTTGCTCAGAGTCCCGTCCAGCCTCACCTTGGATATCTCCAGGAATGAGACATCTATCACCTCTCTGGGCAACCTGTCCCAGTATTTCGCTACTCCTACTGTAGAAAACTTATGTCTAGTCTAAATCTCCACTCTCTTCTGATAAATTTTTGTCTGTTGACATCAGGTGCAACGGTTGTCATAATTTCTTATACAATGTTTGCTATGTATCATGGCCACAACTGTCACACACTGTATTACTTTCAGTACTCATGTGCCACAGCTTTGGCCCTATAAATGAAATATCTGAATTCAAAACCTGGCTTTCCTCCTTTCTCCACTAAATCTTCCTAACAACCAGTCTGGAAGATGTTTGGGTGCAGAGGATTTGGTTGAGTTAAAATTTAATACAAGTAGGCAACTGCTTGTATCACACAGATGAGGTCCCTGGGCTGGCAAACTCTCTGCTCTGCCCATCTTTAACACAATACAAGCAGGAGACCTGGCTCCTGCAAAAATACGAGATCACTGTGGGCTAGAAGCCAAGTCTGAAGGAATGAACAGATGAGTCATTGCCCATAAACTTTCCCAGCCGAGTTTCCCAGTCTAGTTAGCTTTGCTTGGGAGAGCAAAATGAAAATGGAAAAAAGAATTCTCAGTCTCACTTCTGAGACATAAGTATCATCTGAGTGTGCTCCATTTAATGTGTCAATCAAAGCTCTCATGGTGTTTTTACTGTTCAGCAAGAATATTTGGAATACTGGAAAATCAACACTATCCAGCTGTTTCTCCAGCAGGCCAACCATATATTTCAAATGACAGCACCGCACGTTGGTATGTACATCCATATCTTTGAGAGCAGATGGCTTTGTGTGTGTGTGGTCATTTTAATGCTACTCCCTCAAATTCAGTCAAAATAAAACCTTAATAAAACTCAAATGCAGGCTTTTGAGATGCATTGATTTCAGACGGCTCTTGTCAGAGTACAGATGAAGTGAATCACCTCACAGGGACAGACATCTGCTGGGTATCGCTTTTGTTTCCCATAAGAAATAAAACACTGAACCCCTGCTCTGAGCTAATAATAATTGCCAGCACATTGGCACATGATTGCTTTTAAAGACGGAGAGCCCTCAGTTCTCTGATCCCTCATTTCGTGCCTTCCATCACAGCAAGGTGGATGTGCTGCAGCCCACAGGAGCAAGGACACCCTCTGTGTGTTCTGTGCTTCCTTTGGAGGCTTTTGCAGAGAGGGAAGGAGGGTGGCTATTTTTTCCCCAAGTGCAGGAAGCTTCCAGCTCTCAGCATGACATGCTGCAGCCGATCAATCAGATCCCATTGTGTGACTCTATTCATCTACCTCTCACCTCCCATCTGCTCATTTCCCACTAATTCCCTTTCCATTTCAGCAGCACCTCAGGGCTGCTCATCTCCCAATTATTCATTCTCTTTACGGAGCATGAAAAGCAGAGAAAACACTTTTTTAAAAATCACACCTATGGGTTTTCATACTGTCGAGGTCTGAGGGGCACTTCTCTCTGCCTTCCTCCCTCCTTTTGGTGCAGGGCCCAGCACCCCATGGTATGCTTTACAACACACCCCAAGGGCTTGCCTTCATTAGGGGGAAAAATTATTTTTTCTTGCTTGTTACAGAAACAATGCAGATGTGTTGACATGAATTAAGAGTGATAGAAAGTCCTTTTTTGGCTGGTGGGGCAGAGCTGAGCTGGCTCAAAGCAATCTGCCAACGCAATGGGTCAAGGGGCAAATCAGCATGAATCTCCTAGTCTAATCTTGCTCTCATAGAAACATAATCATTAAGGTTGGAAAAGACCTCTAAGATCATCTACTTCAAAGTCCAACCCATCCCCACCAAGTCCACTAACCCATGTCCCTCAGTGCCACATCTATACCATTCCTGAAAACCTCCAAGGACG